TCCCGGTGGGAGCAGATGTTTGTGTGATGAATACGAGCATTTGTACTCCAGTCATGGATGTTTAATATGTATTTCTATATAAATAACTTATATAAGTACAGTATATGTATTCTGTCCGTTACCCTAGTAGCCCATAACACAAGCCTTATAGTGCTTACTTTGGGGCTAGGCAATTGGTGTGAGTGTTGGAAATATTTATTTATTATTATTTATGAATACTTGTAGCATAAATCCTGGTTTCAATGAATTATTTAGAATTCAATATGTCCATGGAATATTTGATTGGGGATCAGAATTCCCGATATTCTATGCGTGACCCGATGTCAGACCAGAGACCTGTACCCTTAGTACGAGTTTGAGCTCACGAAAACTATCATAGTTTTCGTAATTGTAAATTATGTTTCTATGTCCATTTTGGTCGAAAGTAACCAAATATACTTAAAATTTAAGAAGACGCAAATAATTTAATGATAGAATTTAAACACTGTTTATTTGTATTGAAACGAAAATAGTAAAATCAGTTCCCATAGTACGAGCTCACGAAAACTATCATAGTTTTCGTAATTGTAAAACTCGTAGTAAGGGTACTGAGCGCTTACTTTGACTGCGAGCTCCGTAATGGTATCGCATCGTCAAAGTTTCTATGAAAATTAAGCAGTGCCACTACCGGACGTAAGAACAAAGTGGCTTCTTTCATACTTTAAATAAATAATAAAATTGACGATGACGATACGATTACGGATCTGTCAAAGTTCGTGCTTTGCGCTCAGTACATAAAATAGTTATTTAACGCAAGTGAATTAATGTGCTGCACCTCGTGAAAAAAAACAAATTAAGTAAAAGTAACGGTATGGAAGGCTTATGCTTAGAAGTGGGTTCGTTGGGTGAATGTAGTTTTTGATATGGTATGGCCTGTGCCCCAGCAGTGGGGACATTAATAGTCTGATGATGATGATGGTTACCTCAAATATGAAAACGCTGTCTAATAAACAGCGTTTATTTAGCTGAAGTCGAAGAAGATAAACAGAGAGTACAGTTTGCTTATCTCACACAAAACACTAAAATAATCAAAACAGAAACAAGATCTAAGCACATTGAGTCATTAACCCAGTTACCCCCAAACTGGTATAACATTGCGCATTCTGAAAATGCATTGAATTACGAAACCTAGCTTATATTATAACGAGTCCGTCGCTATCACTAATTGGTACATAAATCTGATATCTCCTAAATTATCATCGCGATGTTAGAACAAAGCGGCATTGTTGTATTCCATAATCGGGTCATCGGCATAGATTTGTCTATCAGTCAATAAGATTACGCGATGTTAAGTAATATCGGTTTATTGTTAGACCTTAGCTATTGCGTATTTCCAATAAATTGTGTAGTAGCTAGGGTCAGAATACTTAGAACATGTCTGCTACGACCTTCACCATGGAGCTCTGGTACCTCTCTCTCCTCCTCCTCTCACCAAAGGAAACACAACACCTCCAAAAGGTGGTATCCTGTAAAGGTAACCCAGACGGTCTTTGATTCGAGCGGGAAATCCGTTATGCCCTAACTCGACCAATCCTGTTCGAAAGTATATTCACCTGAATTATGATGAATGTATCTTTGGAAGCAAGCTGCGACAACACTGCAAAGAATATAGGTAGGGTCTGAAATACAAGAATATTTGAACCAAATATTCTAACGAATTTCTATGCAGATCACGGAATTAAAGAGACAATACATCAGACAGCCGTTTAAAATATCGATTTTCCACTATTTTGATCGATGATAAACGCAAAGCAAGGACACCGGTATTACCAACTAGAGGTGCCCTGCGGTTTCACCCGCACTAATTTGAGGAAAAAGGTTACAGTGGGTTACCTTTAAAAGATGGCATATGCTGTCGCGACTTCTTTAAACCCCTTATAAAGAGGAACAATTCCGTCATACATGATTTTCGTGTGTAACTTGTATCGTTTACGCTGCGCGAGCAACAGAAGGTCTGAAATAGAATATTTTTGCCTGTTTTTGAAACATTTTCTTTGGTGCTCCGTTCCTATTAGACGTAGCGTTATGTTATATAGCCTATAAAAGCCTTCCTCGATAAATGTATGCATTATCAAACAGTTTTTTTTTTAAATCGGACCAGTAGTTCTTTTAGTTTTGCGCAAACAACCAAACCAACTCTTCAGCTTTATAATATTAGTAGAGATAGTATAGAGTTTAAACTTTGGTAACTTTCCATTATTGGCTACTAAAGTGTCAATTTGCCATGCAAATATTCAATGAATATTTAACAAAAATGAAAAATTCGAACTATGGAAATCCGACAGACTTAAAGACACAACAAATCACCATGAAACGTAACATTGACTTTCCGAATAGTCAACCTTTCTTCTTTAAAAGAAATTCATCGTCATTTCAACGAAAGCAACAACAATGAGATGCGTGCAATACAACAAATTTCACAATCTGTTGATCACCCCCCGGTTTTGTCGAGTGAATGAGTGAATAAACGTCCATTGTAACCTGGAGCTTGTCACAACGTAATACAGTTGAATTACTGTTTTCCAAACGGTACACCAACGAAGTGAGCAGCGATGCGGTTTGTATACTCAAAGCTAGAGTTCAAGGCCAGAACAATGACATTCATTGAAAATAACAATATTTGCAAGCACTTGTTATTTTATATGGTGACTTTAGCAATCGAGCAGTGATATTTGAAGAAAGAGACAAAAAGAGATGCTTAAGACAAGAGCGAGAGAGATCAAACATTAGATAAATGAGAGGGTAAAAGAGCAAATTTTAGAGAAAATAGCCGACAATTAGTCGCTTCCTCGTATGGGAGATGGGACAACTGTCTTAGTGGGGATGTGTAGTGCAGTACTATCGGTTACAACAAGGCTTGCAGTTTATAGTTCGCCGTTAAATTATAAGATCCCAATTTTGGTTTTTTTACGGCTCCCACACAAAACTGCGATTCGATGCGATACGACGTCGTGCGGCAAAGTTTTGGTTATGATGACAATACCTTCAACAGTACCCTTGTTAGTACGAATTTTACAATTACGAAAACTATGATAGTTTTCGTGAGTTCGCACTCGTACTAATGGTACTGATTTTATTGTTTTCGTTTCAATACTAATAAAGAGTGTTCAAATTCTATAATTAAATCATTTTCGTCTCCTTAAATTTTAAGTATATTTGGTTACTTTTCACCTAAATGGACATAGAAACATAACAAATCATAAAATTTATATTATTTTTAGCATTTAACTGTTAGACATTTAAATCTAAAGAAAAGTTTACTAGAAAATATTCCATGCGGACGCACTCTCCGCAATCCGGGCGGATGCACTGACCAACTTTAGAAAAAGAAGATTTTGGGTTCATCCATTTACTATGATTATGAACGCACTGATGGGAACTATTTTACTCGAAAATAGTGTGGTTTGAAAATAGAAGAAGATATTTTTTTTTATTATTTTAGAATAAGCTTAACTTCTTTTGAAGATTTTTTGATTTTATTACCACCATGTTTAGAAAACCGCACAAGAGAAGTCTCAAAGTGGACTTGAATGGCGTCACCAAGTGTGACGTAATAGTATTAGGAATGCGCGATGCGAATCTGTAGGCCTATTTGCAAACTGCGTTTGACAAATGGAAGTGATAATCACCGAGCTATTTAGTGATCCACTACTCTTTTATTATGACACCACTAAGTTATTTGTTCTGGAAAGCATCGATAGACATGCAATTTTCTCTTTAGTCACACACTGTAAATGACAGAAAGTTAGCGAATAGGCCGGCAGTTCGGAAGTTCTTGCGGTGCATTCGTTTGCGATGCTATGCGAATTCGCAGTTTTGTGTGGGAGCAGGTCTGATTGGGTAGGCCAATAACCCAGAATTTATTAATATACAACCATCTTCTATATCTTTCAGCGTCACAATAGAAACTTAATGGTATTTTAGTGATCAGCAAATGTACACGTTGGGCAATTATAATGCATAAAGATAATTGCCAAAATTGGAAATAATAACAAAGATCAACTTGCAATTATGTTATTTTTATACTGGTATAATGACACCTATTATTTTAGGTATTTTTTGTCAAAAAAAAAGATGTGTTTTTTTAATATCGTAAGGTCATTTTTGATTGAAGTTTTAGTATATCTATATTTAAATGAATCAGGGATGATGACCAATTTTTTAGGGTTCCTTTAGTCCTGAAAAAGAACCCTTATAGTTTCGCCATGTCATATTGTTCTAGACTGTTGTGACGACACTAGCATAAAATCTTGCATTGGAAAACAAAAACTTTTTAAGACACCACAATAAAATATCATTTATTCCAGAAAGCTGCCGTTAGATGGCGCTGTACCAACAGCTCGTGAATCGCTATGTACTAACGGTTTCTGAATCGTGCTATCGTTTCGTTTTTATAAAGAGTATGAGAGCACTTGAAGCGTACACAGGCTTCTGATAATGAGTTAACGACGGGCAATTACGGAACCCTACCCTGCGGGTGGCCCGACACGCATTAGCCGGTTTTTCTCTCGTCTTTCAATCAGGTACATTATCAAAAAGTTTTAGACAAGTATTTTTTCTTTATTCACATAATCAAATCATTGCAGAGATATATTGATTTGAAATATCGCATGACGTCACGCCTTGGTACAATTTTACTTAGACGTGATGTAACGAGAAACTTTTTTTTTGTTTTTTTGACAATTTAACTGACGGACTAAATAGATTTTGTTCACTTTACTTCACCATCTCTATTGCTATAAATTAAATGCAATGGTTAACCATTCCAACTCATGAGAGTTATGTATTTATAAACCATTAGAGTTGAAACTTTCTTAAGCTAACATCGCTTATTACATCTATACATTCGTAAAATCGTGACTCAGTCTAAGGTTAGCAGGCGGTCGTTCTTAATTTGACCTAAATTAATCGATTAATCTAACTCTAATCATGTCTGATATAATATCTATTCGAATACTGACCTTAAAGCGCTGCCTTGCTCCCGAACGTCGACACCGTTGATGGCCTCTTCGTTGCTGGACGGAAGCCCCGACATATTCGTCCAATAGCAGCGCCGGACGGCAATCTTCACCAATCAGCTGCGATGGTTATCCATCACCGCCGATTATAGGCCAATCGCGATCGTGCCGCTATCGCTGGGATCATTGTTCTGTAAAGACAGTTTGGATTTAAAATTCGAACCACGCAAGAAAATGGATAAGGATGTGACAAAGGAAGTGCTATCACAATTAGGGACTGTTATATAACTGCTCTTGTTTAGTGGAACGGATGGTTGTATGGGATTATGCGTTCGACGTAATAAGTTCGTTGTGTCAGTTATTGCTACCGGAGTGCGACGGGGATGACTGTTAGCTTTTACTGTTACAAATAACAGTAGACACTCATTTGTCATATAGCTTGGGAATTGAAATTTGTTTGTGCTGTTGCTGAGAAACAATAAGCGCAACCATAATTTAATTTAAAATTAAACCCAATAACGGAATTCTCATGCATCTTTTTGCAAGTTAGTAGCCTATAAATGATCAAATAAGTAAGATAAAAAACTTCCTCTAACAGATGAAAGATGCAATAAATAAAATTATGTCGTGCACTCTGCCAAGTTCCCTATGTTACGTCACGAGCGCATCGCACGCGCCGAAAATAGCCAAGTAAATATAGTTCGTAAACACAGGATGATTCGATTTATTATTTCTTTTTCGGTTTTGGGTTTATTATTGTTTAGGATCTGCCTACACGAAGAATAATCAGGCAACTCGATACGATATCGCTTCCGAGAAAACTTGGCATAATTTTATCCGGCCGGATTTATCACTCCCATTACGTGGAAATGGGCTAGGCGGTCAACGGAATACAGGCGCCATCGCCAGTCATAAAAAATGATTAAATTTTATAATTAGCACCTTTAAAAATACACTTGGTGTTTTGCATTGCAAACGTTCACCGTCTTACATTTATTTTGTGTGTATGCTGTTGGTTGCAGATGACCTTTACAATGTCACCGGGTTAAGGGACGGCGAGAGCCTAAAGAGACCACATGCGGAAAATTGCCAAATGCCCCTAGAGGTGTTCCGGTCTAATGGCTCTCTCTCCGTCTGAAGTCTCTAGACCGCGCTAACCTTAGGGAGGCAGCTCAACTAGAGGGCGTATCTGACACTCGGACCTCGGCTCCAGTTAGCCGTTGTCGTACGGAGCTGGGAAAGACGCCCAAGTTTAATTTTCTACCTGGTGTAGCGCGTCATGTGTAGACCGGGTCTTCACACTCTTATCCTATGGGTACGGTGTCTGCCTAAAACTAAGCTAGTGTGCATGTTTGCTAACTGTCCGTCTTAAAGTATTTTTTTATTAAATAAAGGTTGACTAAAGTTAAACCCAGTCCGGTGATGCTATTTATGTTTGCTAAAACATTAATCAAAGGCTAAATTTCTATTTAGACCAAACCAAACCATTAGGTTTGGTCTAAGTTAAGAAATAAGCTGGCATACTCGTATATTTGAGGCTGGGCGCATATGTACGATTTCCTGATTAGGAATTCTTAAACCTATTTGTTTTTTTATTAGGTAGTTTCCGAACCGAACGTTAGGTTTTTTCTATTTTGAAAAAATAAGAATACTGTGCACACTATTTTGACCTTTGCACCTCATTGATCATTTTGTATGTAAGGACGTGCATTCAGGTCTCCGAATCGGAATACCTGATCAGGAACCCGGGGGTACATATGCGACCTGCCTTAGTGCAGATGTTACAAAATAAAGCAACTTGTTGGGCGAAGGTTGATCTAACTCTTTGGGCCTACATATAACATTGTTTTTTCCTAGATTTTATTAAACTACTGTCAAATTAAGTTTTAGGCTGTTTTAGGTTCAAAGAGTCAAGGAGTTTAGCTAGATTTAGGTCAACCTGAACTCATGTTTTAATTTGATTTATATTAAAAAATGGGCCAACATTAATGCCTTTTTATATTTATTTGATATTGCTTACAAAACAATTAAAAAAGTTTCTTGGGGTAAATTTTGGAATTCCTTACGTAACATTCAGATCACACAGGTTATTAAAAACAAACCTATTGGTAAAGTATCTATGATATACAATAACACAACATACAAACCAAGGAATACGTTAATTTGAATTCTAATTTTCTGAACGCCTGTTACGCGAGCGCAGCGTCTGTCTAACCAAAAATAATCCTTTGTTTATATACGTAAATGTCAAATACCAGCAATGACCTCGACTCACTGCGATGCTAACAGTTTCGGTCATTTGTGTTATGTAAAACGAAAATGATATGCTATTAAAGCACCGAACATCATCATTTTTGATGTTGTTACATCATGACACACGGCAATTAGAATTTTAGACAATTGGACGACGTTACCTGTCGACGAGTGTTTTTGTTACGTCACTATTAAACAATTTATTCATCAATAAAATATATAAGGAGTTTTTGTGGATTTGCTTTCAGAAGACATAACGCCATCTTCGAATGCTGACTTTACATTTAGACAAATAATCGACAAAAAGTATGACTGAATGAAAGCAAAATGTAAACTAGTTTGTATCAATTTTTAATTATATCACCAAATCTGAACTACTAAACGCAGATGAGTTAGTAAATCGATAAAAAGATATTCATTTCATTCATCACTCATTTTGCAAGTTGGCAAAGGATTATTGTACAAATATCCAAGTTACAACATTGAAAGTGATTCGTCCATCTACGCGATAGAGCAAACGCGCAAAAAACGGATCTTGTTTTTTTTCTCCGAGCTTTGTAATCAGTGGAACGCTTCAATTCAATCCAACACATTAACCTATATTTGTATTACATTTTTACACACAAGTTTATTTTTTATGATTGATCACCACGTTTTTTGTCGTTTGCTTGTGTCAGGTCAAGTTTATTGTAACTGGTGTTTCTGTTTCTGTCTGATGGAGAGTCTGTTGATTGATTAAAAGATTTTAATCTCTTAAAATTCGATTTGTAAATTTGTCATTCAATTAAACTTTTAATTAGTTAAATTTCTTATCGCATCTTAGTCGGTCTAACTCTTGCCTTCAAGCTTGCATTGCATAAAAGCAATTCGACTTCCCTGATTTTTTTGTTTACGCGATTCCAATCTAATTTTAGTATTCTGAATTCAGAATTAAATATTGCAGAACTACTGCTAGGAACCGAAGAGTTTGAAATCATACAGTAATAAACGAATAAAGGCAGACTAGTTGACTACGTTAATTAAGGATATAAATCCAATATATTTACCGCAGCTATAAATCCTCATTCTTCAAATCAAAACAGATTGTCTGTTGACCTCGATCAATTGCTTTCGTATAAGACAATATACCCACATCATGTTTTAGGTCAGTCAGTATCATTGGCGATTGTGTGGGTTTTGTTTCAAATGCTTTAATAGCATTTAGGACCTTCTTGTGGTCACGAACCAAATGATCAATCGACTTACTTTTCGTAACAATGATAATTATAGTCAAAGGTTACATTTGAGAAGCAATTCAAGCTTCTGTTTTGATATGATTTCGATTTACATTCTGATATCACTATTACGTGAATTCGTTTAAAAAGGAATTTTATAGACATTTGATTGATTACCATAGGGATCACATGAGTAAAGAAGGCGTGGCTCTATGCAGCAATTAAACTTGATAAGTTGTACTTTTATTATACTTTCTTTGAATTACATTAACACAGTACTAACAGAGTTTCAAAATATAAATTGCCGCATCTTTTAATGTAATAAGATAAAATAAATGATCTGAACGGTCGTCGCAATCGGATTTTAGACTAGGACATCGATGAATGATTAAGTAAGTCAATAAGAAGTGAACGTTAATTACTTGAGTCATCATCATCGTTGCGATTCATGTGTTAAATAAGTTCACACGGTAGTTCAGCCTAATTTGATGTTAACTAATACATTTCATACCTACAACAATACAATAGATGCGCTCACACTGATCTGCAACTGATATTGAAATATGAAATCATCTTATTTTGCCTTTTGGACTCGACGCACTGATATATACGATGTGCGAACATTTGTTGGCCGAAATTTTAAAGAAGTGCACACTGAGGAAGTGAATATTCTCAGATTATGTTGTGTTGCGAGGCAGAAAACTTAAAAAAAAATACTAGGCCATCACTTTAAATCGGATCGACCGCGCACGCAAAGCGTACTATGTTTGCCGTGTGCGTTGCTGCGACTAGTCACATGAGTTCTTCATTTTTCGGGGACTCCCGTGGTTTTGTTTATCCTGTCCGGTCTCTCGGTTGTTCTGTTGACTTTGTTGTACTTGTATGCCGTACTTTTAACCCCTCGTGTGCATTACTGGATACAGTTGTGAGCTATTTTGGCGGACAAAACTAATTAATTTTGAATCATCATTATACGATGTCCACTGCTGAGCAAAGTCCTCCTCCAAAGATATCCACATTGGTCGATCACGGGCTGTCCACATCCAGCGGCTTCCCGTCGGATAACCTGGAGAGATGCCAACCAATCCAGAACCTATTCGCCCCAACGAACTGCAGTTCTCCTCGCTATGTGCCTTCAGCCTTCTGTCACCTCAGCTGAGCAATCCTTTAAGCATTGTCGTTTAGAAATCGTGCATATTTCCTCATTTATGATTCTGTCACGCAGAGAAGTACCGAGCTTTGCTCTCTCCATTGCCCGCTGTGCGACCCTGAGCCTTCTCATAACAACCATAGTTAATGACCACGTATCTCCTTTAAGCGAATGTGAACAGTACAGCATACAAAATAATACGTTGTATTCTTTGTATTCTTAGTATTGTATATTGTACACAATACTAATTTGCGAGTGAAATCAAATACTAATTTCAAAAGTTACAATAGAGAGTTGAGAATTAACATGCCTTTTATTATGAAGATCTTTTGAGAGAACATAACACGGATATTTTCCTGCTTTGCAATTTAAATTCCTAGCTTTGATGTCACTAGTTTTCTATTGTCCTCGCAGTTGTTATTCTTGTCGGCTGGTAGAATATTAATGTGATGAGCGTAAGAAAGAAAACTTGGCGTTCATAATCTTGATACGTGAAAATTCTTAGTATTGGCAGAAACGAACACAATGGTATAAAGCGAATTAATCAATATAAGGTAGTTTCAATACACCACAA